AACAGTAGTAGCCAGCAATTCAAGAATTACATTTGAGAAAGGACTGGTAGACTCAGAGCTAATAATGACAATTGAACTAGTGCCAATTTAGTAACTAGTCTAAAGGCTGTAAAGCTGAGAAAAGTACAACCCTCGTTTCCAAATAGAGATATATTAGCCTCATTTTCGTTTCAGTTTCTGACAGAAGAATTCTAAACCGAACTCAAGTATTGCACGGTAGTATATTTAATCAGATGTCGTTTACCTGAATTTGAGGATACAATTATCATCGGTGTTACTCTTTCGCCATCGGCGGAGAACACGCAAGAACTGGACTGAGATAGCGAAGCGGCTCCTTGCTTCGAATTGGAATTGGCTACTGTCATGTCGAAAATTGAACACGAATGGAAACGGTCTTTGATTGTGATCTTGATTTTCTGGCAGCTGGTGTTTGGCGTCGATGTTTGCCGCGGGGTGGATAGCTCTCCGTTACTGATGCTCAGGTGCTTTTTAGCGGAACACGGTGACTGTAGCAGAGTGCTGTTGAGCACGCCGCCAGTGGCCTGCGGTTGGTCCTCCTCAGCTCGACTCGAGACGTTCTGCTTGAACGACACCTCCGATGTCTTATTGACGCTCACAGTCGGCTCGTGAACCTTGTATGAAAGCCCGCTGAGGTGCGACACGATTATTTCATCAAGATCAATGGTTACGCCGCTGATGGATGATGCATTATTGTTGCCGTCTTCCGTCCTGAGTCTGAAATTCTGCAATCACTAGATGGTAAGAAAATCTTAGTAGGTATTTTCCGCAATGCACAGGAAGAGGCGGGGGAGTCTTACGAAGAGTAGTCGGAAGGCCTTTGGGGAACTTTGCACCTTAAAGGTACGAGTTCGAGTTCGAACCTTTTATTGGTTGCCAATTCTATTGAACAAGGAATTCACTTTCCCGTGCTTCGCTGCTTCCAGCCAAGAAATGGGCAGCAAATGGTTTACATGTGAAAAATAGGGACAACATAATGTTCTGGTGTGGTCATGCTTTACATGCATTTGACGAATGCTATTCGCCATCGCCAAGCTGGATGTGTTTCTTCTAGCTTGTCTTTGAAACAGTGAATTACTTACTTAACGTCTTGCACTATTCCTTCTACGGCCGTTTAGCGAAGCTTCTTATAACATATAGTTTCGTAATTGGAAAAGTCAGCGGCTAACGAATCGTCATCGGTCTTTGGCAATATAAACTTTCGTTCACAATGACCGTGTGATAAGTAAAGTGCGGATCAGTCAAAACAGAAAGGTTGAATAAAGCATAAGAATATTATAATCACCAGCCTTTTGAGATCCGACTGCTGTCTGAAGCCTCTCCAAGCCTTTGACATGATCGTCCTTTTCTTAGCGATTTTTATCCACCTTGATCAAATAAACCTCTTAAGCTCAGCTTGTCATTCGTCTGCAGGTCTTCCTACGGGCTGTTTACTCACCGTTTGAATTATGTCAAATGCCTTTCTGTTACAACGGCAGTCGATTCTTCTTTCACCATGCCCTGCTCACTGCCACGTCAACTTCATCCTTCGAAAAATGACGGCTTGTTTATGCTTTTGTCCATTCTTTCATTTTTCGATGTTTTTGTCATTCAAAATACACGTATGTACATGTGGCGTTGAGTAGGCTGCACTTTATGAATAGCTTTCAGGCATAGGGTCAACGTTTCGCACACACATGCTGGCACTAAGAAAAAACCGATCGAATACTTTTCGTTTCTAGCACGAGGACAGTTTGCTGGAGAGGAAATTTTCAGTCTTCGAACAATGCTGCATGCCATTTGTATTCTTTGTCTATTTCGTACAGGACGGCATCCGTGACGGAGATGAGCTATTTCAGATAGACGTAGTTTTGCTCTCTTCATGGCTAAGTTCGTTGATACAGAAAGTTGCGGGGTCATGTATTCGTTAAATATAACCTGAGTCTTACTCAGATCTTACTCAGATCAATTATTTTTCCTAGGCTGGTGCTCGAGTCGTTCAGCTCTTGGATTCTTCTTCTGCTTGTGACCTTCAGAGGATCTGAGTGTCATATGCAAACCGGAGGTGGCTTAAATACCACCATCAGTTTATATTCAGTCCTTGATTTTGCCAATAGCGTACTTTGAATAACCTTGGTAATATTTCGATTTTGAACTTGCCTCTGCTGTCGATAAGGCTTTGTCTCCGTTTTGGCTTCTCTGGCTCTTGATCAATAAATGTAGTACAGAATGAATGCACACTGAGTCGAGTGCCTTCTCGAAATCGACAAACCTCAGCCAATGGAAGCTGACATTCGTTGCTTGTTGTATTAACTGGTGATGATCTGTCGTACTGAATCCACTTCTAATTTTACTGGCTCCTTTAGCTGAGTAGTGATATTTTTATTTGAATTCTGTGCGTCAACACACTCATGAAAATCTTGCACATAATTGCACACAAGCTGATTGGTCGTCTGTAATTCTTGAAATCCTCTTTATCTTCATTTAGTTGATTAGAATCAGGTGCTTCATTGTAATGTCATCTTTGTCATAAGCTCTTTCATGCTTCGGCCATTCCTTGCATGCTGAACATCTTTTGAAAAGATAGCTGAAATTTCATCAGCTTCATTTGTATGTTCAGGTTCCTTCATAGTGCTGTTGTTTTTAAATCTGTAAAGTTTTCTATGGAAATCGTCCACCATCTGTAAAGTTTCCTGTCTGGCCTTGACAGCAGTCCATCTTTTGCTTTAACTGTCAAAATTAACTTCTTCCAGACTCCAAATTTTTGATTATTAAATCTTGCTTTGACTGCCCTTAATAATTTCCTTTGTAGTCTGCAGTTGAATGGGCCGATGCCTTATTCTCTCCGTTTTCCTAAAGGTTTTAAAATTCCACCGATTAGATCGTTAATTTCTGATCTGTTCTGTCTCATTTTTGCGTTTCTTCATAAATTGTTTTTGTTCATTGCAATTTTTAGATCCATCTTCGCTCTCCTTGTTCTGGAGATGCTTTCAGTCGTTTCTAACCTCTAGTTATACTGTGATGCGCCGCTTCTTCTTCATGCGTTCCCTGAAAGACGTTAAATCGGCTGTCTAATTTGGGTTGGAATGGCGAGAGGTTATTTTATAGTATTTCAAATTCGATTGACTTGTTTCCCGTCTTCAGCAGTTTCCTCATTTCTAAAACTGAGTCCCTCCTCCTTGCAGTATTACATCAGTTTGTGATTGTTCCATTTATTAAAAATCTGTTCAGCACTCTGCACTGTGTTCTTCGCATTATTGAAAAAATAATGGATTGCCTTCTTGACATCGTTTAAGTTTCTTCATATCCATTTTGCTTGGTACTTTTCTGGAAAACGATATGCATTACAAATAACATGCTCCTTTCAGCGAACTCCACTAATCAATCATCCCTGCCATCGTTTTCGCCGCAACCAAATTCGCGCTCAGGCATTCGTTTATTTGCTGCGGTCTGACGTCAACGTTGAAATTACCTATGATTAAGTTGTGGTGTTTTATTCAAGGTCATGCACCACCTCCATTTCATCCATTTCTTTGTAAAAATCTTCAATCATTTCATCATGATAGCTTTATGTCGGCGAATGCATTTCGATTGCATGGAGTTGGTATCTCTGGAAACCTCAAAATCAGTTTTGCACACCTCTGAAGTGTTTTCCATGTGTACAACATTGTTCCATATTCTTCTGTGGATAAGGAACCATGTTCCATCTTATTTTCTGATTTACTGTAGAACAGGAGGTGTTTGCCGATTAATTCTAGCAACACCTCTTCTTTTTATCCAAATTCTCTTAGTGTACAATGTCTGATTTGATTGGCTCAAATTCTTCTTCCAGCTATCGAAGCCTCGATTCATTTAGAAGAAATTTACAGTTGTTCGTTGCCAAGGCTAATAAACCGTAGCATCTCTGACCCTTGACCCGGATATTCTTAGCATTCTTTGCCTTCATATCTGACCAGCTCCGTTAGGCGGCGTCAATTCAGTCTCCAGGGGATGAGAGTCATGTTTTCGGTCGTGATTTCTCCATGATGGATGTAGCTAGAACTTTCCACACTGAGCTAGCAGGATAGTGAATGTTCCCACTTCCATTTGGCCAGGTATATTTTTCAAGCTTTCACGGTATGGTTGAACCCTGCTGAATCCTTAACCTAGTTTACTTTTTCTCCCTTCACACGAATGTTCTAAAGTTAAAAGCATAGAAACTAGTATTTCACAGAACTCAGAGATCAAATTTAACAAATAAGAATGGCTTTAAATCGTTACATTCATTCTCTGACAGGGTCTCACGAACGTTTTTCTTTTCAATGCTAATGTTTCTGTTTCTAGTATATAGTGCTTTATGAAGGTCATGCAAAAGTCTTACCTTAGCTTAAGGAAGTAGTCGATCATGTTCAGCAGATCATCGCACAAGTCATCTTTGAATTGGTAATGTTTGTTACATTTTGGACAGAAGATAGGTCTCTCGTAATGCCCATTGAGGTCACAGTCCTGCAGAAGGTCATCGATGAAGTCCCGCTGACGTTGAGCTTCGCTGGCTGTCATCTTAGCTTCTTTTGTCTCATTACTTTCCTTCTCGTTCTTCGTTTCCCTTCTTCTTTTAAATTTGTGGTACGAAGCACGCACTAGCCAAATGCTTATGCCGGCAATGACAACGATCGACAAACAAATGACCAGCG